TGAATCCTTTCAATAGCAGAAACTTTCAGTGCATCTGAAGGCAAATATCCCTAATCTTTCTATTGAATTGGTAGTATGTTTCACAGTGATAGAATATAGTGTTATTGTCTTCTGTAAAACCATCTTGATTTTCCTGGGTATAAGGAAAAAAAGACGCATATTATGCTATGGATAACTTTGATTTGAATAAGTGTAATGACAGCCCTGTGATTGTTAGAGTTTTCTCCGAGTATGATTTCTGACAATACAGAGTTTGTACTTTGAGGTGTGAAACAAATGAAAATTGTAATATAAATCCTAAAATAATATCCTCAGCCCTCATTACACAGGAATTCTGTTTCCAGAGTATTTGTTGTGTTAACAAATCTCTATGATATTCTGATAATATATAATAATAATTACATGATTTCACTAGGATGAATGCTTCAACAATCGTGGTTTCTATTTCTGTAGGGGGGTTGAAGATTGAAATGAAGGCACATTATTGTTTCTCATTTTATTTTTGCTGTTGTAAATGCAGGCATTGGTCAAGAAATGAATTTAATATTATTGTCATATTTGTGAATGGTCACTCTCTGAGGCAGTTGCTAAACAAGATTTACCTGTATCTGTTTTTTTATGGTTGTGACTTTCTCACTAAGTTGACATTTTCATTTATAATATAGACAGTAGCTTGAAAAGGGCTGTTATTAGAGTATTCATTTGAATTACTTTCAGCTCAAGTGGCATATGTCAAAAACAATACAAATTTAAAGAAAAAGAAAATAAAAATAAACAAAAGTAAACACTGACATTATTGATTCCTTTGAGCAATAAGAGGCACTAGACCAAATAATTAGTGGGAAGTATTTGGAACCAGTTGGTAGCCAGTTCTTTAAATCTCCTGCTCCATCATTTGTCTCCTATGTTCAGGGATGAGTGGTTTTCTTGTCATCCTCTTAAAACAAGTTTCAACTGGCTGCTATAAGTTGAATTGATTTTAACTTTATTTTAAACTAGCATCAGCTGTTACATTTTTTTACGTTTTGTTATTATTTATATATTACTTTTCATCCACATTATGAAGAACGTTTTAAGAAATCTTGTTAAAAGACCATTAAATGATATTAAAAGTATGAAGAGAAATGGCATCATCTCTTTTTTTGTCTAAGACAGCAAAAGGGATTTAGGACACAGTCATTATGGGTTTAGTGGAACAAAAGGAATGAATGTATGGAAAATGCTGTGACACTGTTAATGTCACAACTACTTTCATTCTCTTAAGAGCAAAAAGCAAAGAACCAAAGCTGTCAAGGGAAATAAAATAATATTTACAGTTATGCAGAATGGGGGAAAAAGTTTTAAAGACTCAGACATGAAGAACTTACCAATGCAGCTATAAAAGTGGGCTGGGGAAGTTCTAGAAAGCCACACATCTTAAAGTTAAAGCTTGAGATACATTGTTTTAAGGTATCCTTCCCCAATCTGACCACTTCCAGATGTAGTCCTAAAACGTATTATGTATCTATTTATCAAGCAAGTTGGAATGAATGGACTGTCATAGTGCAGGATATTTTGGTGAGGAATAGTCTATTGGAGTTGATTTCATAGTTGCAATCAGAAGGCACTCAAAGGTTTAAACCAAGTGTCTTTCCATATCCTGCATGCCACCAGGATTACTTCTTGAAAAGAGAAACTGCATGGAATTTAAACTGAGATGATAGCACAAATTAAAAAAAAAATCAGTCCTAAGTAAGACACATAATGTTATTTGATTGATTGATGATTGATTGATATTGTTGTACATCTTGCTGAGGTGACTATTTGGGGCTTTTCTTTGTTTTCACAGAAAATGCATTTAGATTGAAGTTAGCCATTGGCAGCAATATCTGTGTCTTTAGCTTGGCAAACACTCCCTGATTCTAATACTTCTTCAACTTTGGTAGCTGGACTTTGTAATCGGTTAGAAGCTTTTCAGACTGGCTGAAAGACTTGGCTCATACATAGTGCTAAGACAGTTATTGGTTATTCTGTATAGCATCATGTAAAACATTTACTGTCGGATAATACCAGAAGCAACATTTTGGGTTACTTGAAGTTTAAGGAAAAATGGTGGAAATTATCTGTGGTTGTGTGCAACACATAGGATAGCAATGGCTAGTACCGCAGAAAAGGAAGAATGAAACAAAGGAAACATATTGACTTCTACTATGTGAAGAGATGAAAGAAAAACTCCCTTGATTTTCTAGGTTTTCTAGGCTTATGAGATGACAAATAACTGGACTTGGCTATGTTTTGAATATTCTCTCTCTTTCTCTCTTTTTCTGAGTGTGTCTGCATATGCATTTAATTGGTTTTAACCTATTTTCTCATAGCTTTGTTGTTAGTAGAGTCTGTTAAACAACCTGAACTGCTGACATTAAAATTTGGACATACTTTTATTTTACACTTACTCTTTTGAGAGATGAGTGAAAGTAATCAAAATTATTTTGTGTGCATGACCTTTAAAAATCAACTGGCAATCTCTCCATTTTTTCATTTGCTTTTGAGCTCCCAGTGGTGCAGAATTGTAACAGATGGAATGAAATGTAATTTGTAGATTTTAGAATATTGAAGGAAACCACTAGAGTTAGTAAACTCCATATAGTATAGTGATTTTAACTAAGAGATGTTTTGAAAGAAAAGTTAGAAAGCAAAGCAGAAATTATTCTGATTTAATTAAAATATTGAGCTCCAAAATATGAAGTTTCAAAATCTTATATTTTATTCTTTATTCTGTTAATAAGCAGATAAAGACAGAGAAATAGATTTCTTTAAAAATTATATTGTTTGTACTGTTATATTTAAGCCCTTAAAAAAGGAAATTAAAAAGACTGATGATAACATGATAGCCATGTGATCGCTTTGGAACATTAAGAGAAGGGTATTTTGTGTTTGGAGAGATAACATTTATATCAAAAACATGATTATGATGAATTGTTGAGAAGCGAAGCAGTAGTAAAAAATATGTCCTGGAAAATAAATAATTAAAATTTCATAGATTGTCCAAGGTTTAATTGTCAATCTAGAAGAAAAAAATCATGCCAGAAATATTCTAAAGACATCAAAAGATTTCCATCGCTGTTACCACTGGTACAGAACCAAGGCAAGATTTTTAGATGAATTGAGATTTCAGCATTGAGACAAAGAGGAGAAGCAAGCCTTCAGTAATCTGTTTAAGATATTCCAGGTTTCAACCTGTTCTATGAGTTCCTGTGTAACATTCCCTTTGGAACTGTAATCTCATGAATATATTTATGCAGAAAAGGAATCTTGAGAATTAAAATTTACATCTGCAATACAAGATATTGTTGTTTATGTTACATGTCTTCCTCTAAGAAAATTATATTATTCTCTCTAGTTTATTTTCTCTATGAATCTGAAATAGTGGTTCATACATGTGAAATTGCCTGATAGCACAGGAGTCCCCAACCCTCAGTCCTTGTACCAGCACCAGTCCATGATGTGCCAGAAACTGGGCCAAACAAACAAGTGAAGCCCCATCCATGGGATGCAAGCAGCATGCAAAACCATGCGCCTTTTGGCTGTGAGAAAAACCTTTCTTCATGGAACTGGCCCCTAGTGCCCAAAAGGCTGAGGGCCACTGCAATATGGTCTTTTGATTGAATTTGAAATTGCTGTCAGTACTTCAATTCATCTGTATTAGATGTGTAGTACTCTCAGGGTTAAGAAAATCTCCTACATTTAGTCTTCAGATCAGAGCATTATAGATTAGAATATGTGTTCAGTTTCCAAATTTTCTTAATTATTTAGGGTTTAACCAGTTTTGTTGAGGTTTTGCTATTTGTAAAATGTTACTCTCATCTCTTGACCAGGATACCCAAGACATATTCTTGCCTAAAGTAGAATTGCAAAGGATCATATCACCATTTCCCAGGGTCTACCCTTTGGCCAAATATTACCTAATGAATTCCAAGCCCTGTTCCTATCTAGCTGGGCATTAAATTACACTAACTATAGTAAGTCTTAGAAACAATCTTGTAAGTAAAGGTTATATTAAGTAATATTTGGCATGTAGCTTTGCAGCAAGCAAACACACACAAACAAACAAAAGTTTGTGTCTGTGGACATTGTAATCCATGATTACAATACTTTAAAGGCTGCGGTCCAAGATCTGCAAGATTTATACATTCTTTATCCTGTTTATTTTAATGAGATCTTAAAGCATATTTTTTCCTGACTTGGAATTTTCTTATACATTTAGACAATAATTTTGGTGTTATTTTTGTCAAAGCCTTGATCTTTATGTTATAACTATTCTGTTACATCTTTGATTATGTGAAATAACGGATGATCCAATTTTCTTTTCTTTTGCCATCTGTTCAGTATATTGAAACTGTTGGGATTAACAGAATTACAAAATAGAGGATTTTTTTTTAAAAAAATGTATTTTTCCTGACTTGGATATGAATTATATCAGATTGATATCTAGATCTCAGACATAAAGCTGTTCTTGAAGATGGTTAAGCACTCTGTTGTTATTCTTCTTTAAATGACTAACCTGGACTAAGAGATTGAAAAAGAGGTATTTTGCAAAATTAAACCTGTTTCACCTGAACATGTTTTAACTAGTTAATAAGAAATATCAAAACAAAAACAAGGCAAAAGACAAAAGTCAAAACTCTAAGGTCAATGAGCATTCTTTCTGAAAAGTTAGTATTTGATGTTTAAATTTGTTTTTTGTGGGGTCTGTCTATAACATAAGTTTTAATAACCAGCTCAAATGCAGATTTCTAATTTTCAATTAACTTAGGAATAATTTTGTTTGCTAAAATAAAATAAATGAATGACAAGTCTGAACCTTGAAATGTTCTAGATAGAGCTTTTTAAAAAATTCCAAATTTTTTCAAAAAAAATAATAATAATCATGTGGCAACTGTATAGCTCAAGCTTTAAGTATTAACTTTTAACCTTTGACCTTACAGATTTTAACCAATGAAATGTCTCTTTAAACTTTAAAGGAAACAATGATAACGAGCGCCTGGCGATTGCTAGACAGCGAATTCCATATCGGCTTGGTCGAGTAGTTGATGAATGGCTACTCGACAAAGGTAAAAACATTGATTAAAACTTCAAATAAAAAATAATTTGAACATAACCAAGTAGTGCTTCATTGTAACACCAATAAACATAAAACAATAAATTTTTCAGTAAAACTAAATTAAAAACAAATTTTAAACAGTTAAATGTAGAGTAAATATTTGCATACAGTATATATAATAATTTCTATACATTTTAGTGATACCACCTGTTTAATAATCATACCCTGATAACTTAAGGTTAAAGGGACTGTTAAATATAATCCACTAACTCAATCTATGAAGATATTCATAGCAAATATTAATCAAAACTGATAAATTATTCATAGATTACACTACATATTCCTTCAGCTAAATTATCAACTAAATATCTATATATGTATGTAGTTATGAGATCTTCGTTCCTGAAACAAAACAAAAAATGAATTTTTAAACTGTAGGTTATATCTTAAATAGTGGGCTGTATCATTGCCAAACAAGATGAAGTCCCTTTAACATTTGCTACCTTGTAAGGAGATTTTGGAGCAAACACTAATTAAAAGAGTTTAAAGTTGTGTGCATGCTGTTATTATGAGCAGAATCCAATCTGCAAAAAAGAATATTATGTTTATGAATATTCCTATTGATAATGGGTTTGCACTGGTGAGGATTTCTTTTTAAAAAAAATAGCAATGTGACATGACTCTTCATTGATATGTGTATCATTCCTTGAAATTGTTTTTACATTAAAACATTTTTGTTGCTTTTTTTCTTTAGTTGATGGCCTTGCTGAAAGATAATCAGACATTTCTCTTTCTCTCTTTTTCTTTATCATTTTTGTTTGTTTCTGAAATGCTCAGCATAGAATATGTATCCCATGCCTTCTCAGTGTCTACATGTGTATGTATGCCTTTCGTAAAGGAGTAACTCAACGTTCATATATTAAGTCTTTTTATTAGAAATATAAGGAGTTATTCTTACTAACATGTTTTAAAACAGGTAGCCTTATAATAGCATAACATAAGCAGATTTATATCTTATGTTTCTATTTAATTCTTTAAGGCTAACTTTATTCAGCATCATGGTCGTTTCCATATTGCATAGGTTTACACAGAAATGATTATATGAAAGGAATATCATATACATATATTGTGCAATCCTTGAATATTGCACATTTTATATGATAGCCCCAACTATCTGTCCTCACCGTACATTTAAGATAAAGAAAACCATTTAGGAAAAATGTGTGAGAGGAAATAGTGGGAAATAAAGTCAATGAAATGGCAATATTAACAAAATTCTCAGTTTGCTTTTTTATCATCCTCACACACACCCAAAACAGAGCTAAGCAGTTATGCATATAAAACAGTTCTGCATTCCATAACACCTCATTAAAACTCATATGAAATATGAACAAATTTCCTTTATTATACTTTATTATTCTCATCTTCCACTCCATAACCTGTTTAAATCATCCTCTTTAAGAGTGTGGTGTTCACAATCAACATTTTTTGCATGTATGTAATATTATTTTCACAGGGCGTCAGCTCACAATCTTCAATAGCCAAGCAACGATAAAAATTGGAGGCAAGGAACGAGGCCATCCATTTCAGGGTCAGCTTTCTGGACTCTACTACAATGGTTTGAAAGTCCTGAACATGGCTGCTGAGAATGATGCCAACATAGTGATAGAAGGGAATGTCAGACTCGTTGGTGAAGTGCCTTCCTCTATGACAACTGAGTCAACTGCCACTGCAATGCAATCAGAGATGTCCACCTCAGTCATGGAAACCACTACCACTCTGGCTACCAGCACAGCTAGAAGAGGAAAGCAGCCTACAAAAGAATCAATTGTTCAGGTTAGCCAACCGTGATTTCATTTTTAAATGTGTGGTTTTCTTTCTAGATTTTGAGCATACACTTGTCTTTGGTAGATGAAAAAAATCTTCATGAATCTTTAAGGTTATAGTCATCAGACTATGGATGCAACATTGACTTAAATGTTGTAGAAGGAAAGGCGTGTTGATGTATGGTATGCATGTTTCTGATGAAGTAAGTTATAGCTCATGGAAATGTATGCTTTTTAATATTTATTAGTCCAAAAGGTGTTTTTTAATAATTATTAGTATAGAAAGGTATTACTATATTCCTTCTGATTTTGGAATACACAGGCTGTAGCAAGTGCCTTCTCTGGGAGACCATCATATGATTACAGTGTGCCTGTGCCAATTCTCATAAAACCAGTTACCTTTTCCTTATATTAGCTTGAAAAAAAGCAGACAACATCAGGAATAAGGAATTTGTATCTTAAAACAGGAACTATGCTAAAATTAAACATTTGGATTATTATACAGTAAGCATTACTTTAAAAAAGCAGAATTTTGACTTTTTCCATTTGAGCAAATTAATTATTTTGAATGTCTTAGTAATAAGGAATTATATTTCTACTTGCTCCTTGTTAAACTCAATTTATGCCTTATGCAGGACAACTGTATAAGATATTTCGCTAGTATGTCAGTTTAACGACCTGTCCAATCCTTAGTTGTCTCCCAGACTTTCCATTATTTATATTCTGAGTCTTTCCCAGCCTAGAAACTTAAAGTTTCTTGTATACTATATGTCCAAACATTCATAAAAATGAAATGTGGTTGTTATACAGATTGTAACAAAACATAATGAAATTTCCAATCATGACGCAAGTGAGGCTCTAGCTGCAATGTATTTGTATTACTTTACCAAACATATCTTGAATTTGGCTTAGTGGCCTTTGGATTTAGTTTGAAATTAGCTCAATTTTGTACCATTCCAGATTTTCAGTTCTTGTTATTGTGAGCTTAACCTACCATCTTAAGGTGATGCTTTGTAGAAATGGGACTGACCTGTGTGAGCTATTCATAAAATCATACTTGACTCTTAGCATATGTTGAGGTAATGTTGAGTTATCCAGGAAGCATCACTTTTAAGAGTATATAAAGTGAGGAGTGTTTGCAGTTAATCACATTCACTGTGAATCAGGCTGAATACAGTTTTCATAAATAGGGCATGCTCTAAAATGACTTATTCACCAGAATGTGTGCAAGTGAGGACTTGTAACATTATGTTGTGGTTTAGAATAATTCTACTTGGTCACTTCCAGCATACTATGTTCCACTTTTTCTCCCACAGATACTGAACATTATATGGTCAATATGCACACGTAACTCTTGTTGGACCATTTTTGTGAGAGAAATGATTTATTGCTTTACAGTATGCTTTCTCTTCCTTGTAAAAAGTATTAGTTGTTTTATGTGAATGTCAGTGCTTCCTTCTCACTCTACCTTGCTATCATACCAGTTTTGAAATAATCCAAATAGATAAACAGTTAGAATAAATTATTTCTAGTTACAGAAAATTCTAGCACCTTACTGCCTTCTATAGAGCATTTGCATTTATATAATATGGTTTGACTTACTTCTTACATTGTTGTCATGAATTTGTCACTGGGACTCACCATCTGTATATATAACAATTACATCATCGTTGCACCATCACGTATATCTATATTAATGTTATGCAATATAAATTGTAGTACTTGAAGTGGAACTGGCAGCTATCAGTATAAGAAGGTGAGTAGGAAAATATTTTAATTATCCAATTCTGAAAGTAATTTAAATCTGAAGGTTCAAATTTTGTTCTTTCATGAAGTCTAAGGCAGGTGGCTTTTGGGTGAGCTAACTTTCATTTCATTCTGTATCTTGCTTGTATCTTTTTACCAACAACAACTAGATCAGTTAGATTTATACATAGTGTTTCCTTTTAAGAGTATGATTTCCAGGCTACCTAAGACAGGCAACAAAATTAAACAAAAAAAAATGTTGTAGTGTGAAGCAATGGTGGGATTTTACTACCAGTTCTATGGGCATGGCTTGGTGGGTGTGGCATGGCATGGTAGATGTGGCTTGGTGGGTGTGGCTTGGTGGGTGTGGCAGGAGAAGGATACTGTAAAATCCCCATTCCCACCCGATCAGCTGGACTCGGGAGGCACAGAATAATGGGGGTGGGACCAGTCAGAGGTGGTATTTACCGGTTCTCTGCACCACTCAAAATTTCTGCTACCAGTTCTCCAGAACTGGTCAGAACCTGCTGAATACCACTTCTGAGGTGAAGTATTCCAGTTCTAAACAATCAGGCAGAGCCAAGGCCTTTGTAGAAGAGGTCATTCTCTTTTTTCATCTTTTTTATTTTCCAGAAGATACCTTGCCTTATCCAGTCACTGATTTTGCAGTTATAACTGTCCTATCTTATTGCTATTCCAGTATAACTGTTACTATAATTTTATTTAATGGTAAATCAGTCATCTTTGGTTGTGCAAAGCCTTTAGGTAGTTGATGAAGTTTTAGTTACAAAGGGATTTGCACTCAGAAAATGATTTTGCTGCTAGTGTATTTATTAGATGAAAACAAATGTTACTCCAAAGATGCTAATGCTAAATAAATATTTGTCTTCAGTGTCAGCAGGTTTGGGGTTCCTGATTCTCCTTATCTAAAATATTTCCTTTATATATATTTTTTTTGCTGTTGTTTTTGTTCCTATGCTGAAATAATTACAACTTAAAAAAGAGGCATAGTTGGCAAATAGTATTAGGTAGTAGTCCATGCACCTAGCGTGCAAATTATATATCTATAAACCAAAATAGCAATAATACATTCTGGATTAGTGCGCTTGAGATTGTGATTTTATTTTATTTCAAAATGACTGGCTTAGTTCAATGTAATAGCTGTTTTGCACCTGTCTTTCGTAGTACTCTTTTCAAATGTGGATACAAAATACCTTTGTAAACAAATTACTAGTCTACATAGACAGATTACCTATCTAGAATCTCTA